AGAATATTAGAGATGCTTTCTCGCTCCTTTAGATATATTAAAAAAAAAAAAAAAAAAAAAAAAAAAACTATATATAAAACTTGGAATGAATAAAATTCTCGCGATTAAAACGAGATGAGAAATTCTCGCGCGACTATCTGTACGCGAAGAAATAAAGAAAAGGGAAACATACTTTTAATCGCGATTTTCTGGCGTATTTCCCGATGATTACGGAAGGAAAAGGGCCGCGTTCCGATCTTATACGAGGCGGTAAACGAAGGGCCATTACGAGTGTCAGGTTCATGAACGAGCTGACGAAGTATCCCGGCGGGTGGGCGAATGGAAACTCCGTTGTCCTCGGCGAAAAAGGAAATTGAATCGATTGTAATTAAAACTTGTATAACGAAGACATGCGCGCGCGCGCGGAATTCATTTCAGCTGTCGGGACGGAAATCCCATTTTTCCGCCTACGTCGGGAATCATCCTCGCGAAGGACGCGAATGTGCGTTTTATAAATTAATGCACTCTCTGATCTCCCGAATTCGCGAAATTGCGCGAATATTTGTTGTCGACACCATTATTTCTTTCCGCGAGAATTATCCTTCTTTGAATCGTCAAGTCTTCTTTTACATCCAAATCAAAGTACGAGGATCTATTCTCTCTTTGACAGTTCCGTATAGTTGGACACTTAGATAAAAAATAGATGAATTACAAATATTAAAAATAAATAGTAACAATTCTCAGTGCATTCTATGGCATTAAAATCTGTTAAAAACAAGTAAAATTAAAAGAATAAAATATTTCAAGATAAAATGTTATTCAGTGTATCGTCGCGAGATAGGTTCGTGACTTTTCGTGGCTTTTGCATTTCTGCAAATTGTGAATCCTCTCCCTTCGCGATTTTATGACGATTTTATAATCCGGATAAGTGCCCAGACTTGTGCTCGCGGTTTTATCTGACTCGGCAATATACAAAAGACGTCGGACTTCTTGAAGAAGAGGTCCCCTAAGCATCGTCGAGGGTGGAATATGTAAATTGGTCCGCTTCGCGCGAAGGGGCTACCTCACAATTTTCTTGATTCTGCGTTTGCAGTCCCCGGTCTTATTACGAATTCAATTATGCGGTCAGCGAGGGCGAATATCGGCACGAGTGAGCACTTATCGCCGCAAGAAATATCGCATATTCGCCATTAATGAGAGTTATGCACCAAGGAGCGGTATCGATTAACGTTTAGCCCAGATATTCCATCCGGTGTATCGCGACTGTGTGTACGTATATATTTTTTGCATATATTTATTAATATCTGAGAGAAAAAAAATATCGATCGATGCTCGAGTGGTCTCGTAGAGTTGCTGAAAAAGAAACAAAAATCTATCTCCCATCTCTATTCGGAGAGCGTAATATATTGTACATTTCGAAAAGAACAACGCAGCTGATCAAAATACGTCACTTACTAATTTTATTTAATAAATATAATATTACATCGTATAACATAAAAGGAATATCGATATCGTAATCGTCGTCATCCGTCACTCGGATTCAAATTGGCGCTCGCGCGATTCCAAAATAATTTCGAAATTATTTGCGAATCGTTCGAGCGATCAGAGCTGTGTGAACACGTAATATAATTTTTATAATCTTTGATATAGAACTCCATTTTTTTTTCTCTCTCTCTCTCTCTTTCTCTAACGACAGCACAAAAACATACAGTATGTTACAATATCATTACAGGGAGTACAGTAATTATTATCGCATAAGTTTCGGGCATTTCATCGACTATACTCGCCGATCTCTGAGAATGGAGTTATTAGTTCGCGAAAATGTTCACCTCCGTTTTCTGAAAACGCCTACGCTTATTCTTGAGGCGTTTCCTTTTGATTCGTTACATTGAAACTTAAACGAAGCACGGACGACTGGATATACATATATATCGAGGGCAGTGCATTGCGTCGTTAGTGTATAGTTAAGGTAACGATACTAAAACAGGAACGATATATATAATAAAACAATGTCATTTTTATCATAAAATCAATAAGGAATAAAAATTTTACAATGATCAAACCGCAGAATCAAAAACAAGTGCATCATCGCTGAGCTAATAAATGAATAAATAATATAAATAATTTATTTTTTTACAAACATTTTCGCCTGTTGCGGCCAAAGGTCCAAACGCTATGATGCGTTACGTAACAGCAATAATAATCAAAAGTGATAGGTACAAGAACGTGTTCTTCTCTCACGAAAGAGAAACTTATTATTACACTTTACCCGTGCATCTTTTATTTTCTATTATTCTTCATCTGTCGATTTAATCTCACCTCATCGACGATCCTCTATTTATGGACGACTTTGTTAAAACTCGTTTATAAACGATCGCTCGTAAACATTGAAATTTATTAGAGCTACACAAGTTTCACGAAAAAAATTACAATAATCGATACTTGCGAAGTTTAATTACTCGATGGAGTCAAATCGTATCACGAAAACGACGAACATTTTCGCTGCTCTAATTTTCCAACTTACTTTGTAAGAAGCGACATGGTGTACATTTTCAATAAATATTGAATTTTTTATCAAACTGCGATGAGAGCGATTCGAATACGAGTTGAAATAAATCGCGGTCAGGAAATAGAGAATCTACGATGAAAATCTCGCGGAAACGACAATTTGACACTAATGATGATTGAAAATACAACAAAACCTTGTACCTAATAAAAATATAATGCTTATCGCGATAAACATAATCGTGTAGCGTTAAAAAAGCACAACGGATAGCAACCTGCGATGTCTCACAGTGATAACACGATTGTAAAACACGTGTCAATTATTATCATGTAAATATAAAATAACTGCACCACACAGTCTATACCATAAAGCAAAACTGAAAACTCTAAAAATGATTTGACATTTATTGTTAAAATCTGGAGCAAGAATTTTATATATATATATATATATATCGCCAAAATTATAGAGAATTATGAGAAATAAGACATACTCACCAAGAGAGGAACTATAAATCCGCACAGTATATTTTATAAATATTTGTAAATTGTCCTAAGGAACCAATTTTCGTAGATGATTTACGCGAATTAAAAATACACGCTACTACTCCATTATAATAATTATACGAGTCAGAAAAATTTTTGTTGTTTTTACACAAAAATAACAATCGCTTTGGACCATCTATATAATTCGTGACAAAATTCGGAATAGAAATTTCTTTATAATTTTATGTACCATGTAACACAGAAAACATTCGAAGAATTAAAATATATGTATATACAATATCCGTATACATACACACGCATGCACGCACACACACGTACCTTATGAAGAATATGCAGTACATGAAATCATAAATCTGTCTGAAATTTTGTCACGAATTGGAGGATCGTCTAAAGTGAGCAGCTACATTTTTTATTTTCGGAAAAAACTAATTTCCTCTCTTGTCTCCCGTGATTCAGAGGAATACGACGGTCTACTCGTGCGGAAACTGCACGCGACTTTCCATTAATTAATCTAATATGTACAAACTATATATATAGAAGAACTTACATACAGTTGCACAAAGGGACAGACTTCGAGATTCTCTATGGAAGTGGAAGATCGGGAACAATCGCGCGACAATATATCGCAGAGAGATTCTGTGACATATTTATATATCATTGACGAGTCACTTACTCTCTCATAATCATAAAAAAGCGTAGAATGCCAAAGAAAGTATATTACACTATTATCAATTTAATAGAATTTTCACCAATAATTTAAAAGATGAAAAAAGTGAAATAAATTTTGCAATTGCGACTGTTATCGTTCAAATCATGGGAGAGAGTTTGTGAAATTCTTCTGAAATATTATTTACAATTTGATACAAGTATATCTTGGTACCTTGTCCAATAAAGATTTGCGCGTTATCTTGGAAAGATAACTTCTTCGTCAACACACACATTCGTAACACACGCAATTTACCATACTTTCGGATCACGCAAAGAGAATCTCGTGTCCCCTCTCATCATCTATAAGAAGAAGACACTTACTATCAGTATTCGCCGAGAGAGAAAGAGGGAGGGCCGATAGCAAAATATCTGACATACGAAAATAGATGTATGAGATTTTCTTTACATCGTTCATTATCACAAAGGTTATCTACGGTATCGTCGACTACTCTAGAGCAAGTTATAATTTTGATATGTACAATACATGGATATATATATACATATGTATATCTATATGCTCTCTTAATAAAAGAACTGTCCGTAGATGTGTCAATCAGTCTGCCTACGGGTATTCATCATATGAACAAATAAAAATAACAATTTGAAATTTTAATCAAATTTGTTTTTTTTTATCTGTTATATAGGCCTAGTTTTTTTGGCCCCTTTTACATCTCAATGCAATTTCTCGTCTTTCTTTTTTTTTTTTTTTTTTTTGTGAAGAAAAAAGATCTACATTTTTGAAGAAAAACAGAGTTAAAAGTAATTCTCGTTATATCGTTACCTTTCTCGTATTTTTTTCTTTGATAAATAACTTGTTATCATTTTTTTCTCTAAAAAATAAATTTATTGACGTTATTGTGTTATCAATTTTAATAAGTGACTCGTTACTGTTACTCAAAAAAATATAACAAATTGTTACAGTTTCTAATACTTTCATTTCACGCTAATATCACGCCAAGAGTCAAACACAGATTTCAATTTATAAATTTTTCTATGTTAATGTATGATTCTAATAACATTCAAAATTGAATTTTATAATATAATTATAATATAATTAAATTTTATAGTATAATTATATAATATTATAAAATTATATATCCTAATGTTTTATATTATAAAATTATATTTTATATAATTATATTTGAATTATATTATAATATATATATAGCATCACAGATATAAAAAAATAATGATAACGATATTTCATTTTTGTAATATCAAACGCATAATATCGAATAGTTTGATAAAAAGTGTAGAAATTGAAATTTTTTGCATTATAAAAGAGTGATAACAAAGAAATTTAAAATAGCTATATGCAAAAAAATTTTTCAATAAGTATAATTAAATAAAACTGTGCTAATGTAAAGCGTGTTCGTTTATGAAAGAATTACTTAAAATTCAATAAGCAAAGTAGAGCAAATCTTGTTCGAAAGATTTTGTGTTCCAGTGAATATACATTAATTAGATCTCTCCTACTTCGCGGTAGTAAATTACTAACATATTTATATATTTATGGGTACATCTTTTTATTTCTCACCTATCTCCTTCCCTCTTTCTCTCGATATCTCTCGTTCCTGCCATTCGATAATAAAACGCAAGGAACGCATCATACAGGAACAATATGTACATTGCACGAGCATGTGCACGTTTGCCATAATTAGCAATTAATTGTGTTGCACCGGTCAAATTTTCTATTTACACACACATTTTTTGTCTGTCATTCCTGAAAGTTTCTGACGTAAATATAATGCGATCGATATACGAAAGATCATCTAGCGGAAGTTGGCTAAATTTGTCCTCGACTGGAACAATGTAAAAAGTCTTAACATTAATAGTTGGATTCAATATTTCACAAGATTCACATTGTGAAATTTATAAATCTTTATCATTTAAATTTATAATTTTTTATAATTGATCTGCTTTAAAACTTTTATTTTCTTTTTTTTTTCTTTTTAAATAGGATAAAAGTGAATGTAAAGAAGAAAAAAATATCAACAAGAATCGATTTTTAAATCGATAGAGTTTATTTCTTATCAAGATTAATATTAAAAGAAATCGATCAAAATTTTTCTTAATAAAATAAAAAAAATTTTAATTTTCCATAATACTTGCAAGAATCAATTTTAATTAATCTGTAAAGTGGCAATCATTTATTTCAATTGTTCCAAAATGTTATATTTTTTTATTCCTTCTAATTCCATGCAATTCTATATGAGAAATTTTTGTAATTACCTGCATTTTCGTATTCCATGAATTTTCGTCTTTTATCACCAACAACGTCCCACATTACACGAAGAGTTAAAGAGGTAGTATTAGTATGATTAATACGGCAGTGTTGTTGGAAAAGGGCAGATTTTGCGTACTATTGGAATTCCATGAACCAATCAACACGCAAGATCGACAGCCAATCGCCAAACTTAGCATCATTGCATAAAGTTCACGTTGTACGTTTCGAGTTGCATCGGTTGTAGACCGATTTCCTGGAGACCGTCTTTGAGACGGGTACCCGGCCTCGTGCCAGTTAGCGACGTCTTGGTAACATTGATATTGTCGAGCTTGTAGAACGCGGTCCCTTGCGCGAGTCTCTCGATAAGTGGACAGTGTTTTAACGCAACATCGGTGCCTACGGAACAACTGTAACCCTGTCGATGTAACACCATGAGAGCACTATTTACCGGGAAGTGCGGTAGCTTCTGATCATGATTGGTGCGTAGATTGAGCAGATGAAAATCGCATGGAAAACTCTGGCTCAGTAGTCGCACCTCTGGCGCCATGGTGATCTCCTGTTCAGTACCGTCTACGACGAAGATGTTGACCGGGTAGTTGAGAGCGTTGCTTAGATGATTAGCGAATAGTGACGGTCTCGAATATTTGTCTTTTTCACCACTGATGTCTTCGAGTAGAAGCCAGTGTTTAATGACAGTCCGTCGATTGTCCAGAAGACCCTCGCCCATACCCCGCGAGTCGTCGTACAAAGTTCTGCGGTCCAGCATCACTTCCAACCAACCGGGTTGATAGCTGGCCGCGCCCTGGCAGTGATTCACCAATAGAGTCAATCGGTGACTCGAATCCTCGATGTAGGCCATAGTTGTGATAGGAAAGTAATTGCCTTCAATACCAATACGCTCAATCTTGGTGCGCTTAATCATCTGGTGGCCGTTCAGGTCGGTGTAGAACTCTGGTGGATCGCCGTTGGAGATGTCGGTTTGTAACCGCATGAACATCTCTGTCTCGCGATTCTTGGGTGGCGTCTCGAAGTCTACGATGTTGCGCACGTAGATGGCCTCGCCAAGGCCACCGTCGCGATGATAGATTGCTACGTGGTGCGTCAGCAACTTGCCGTACTCGACGGTGAGACGAGAACTGAGGCTGCCACTCACGATGTAGATCTTTTGGTGCGGCGTGTATGCCTCGAGAACATCTTTGTCGGTATCCCGGAGATTCGGATCTGGCATGAAGAGGTAAGCGCCACTGTGGAATTGCGCAGACGGGTACGCGGCGAATTGCACGGCGCATTGCATGATCTTACCGGTGGATTTCTTGGTGACTCTCTTCAAAAAGCCTGTCTGTCCGTCGAACAACAACTTCATTCGCTGATTCTCCAGCTGCACATCGCCCACTTGCATCGGTTTGATAGGAAAGACATTGTCCTTGCCGCAACGGCTGCAATACACCGTTGAGATAGCTTCCACCGGTACCTTATCGACCTGTTGCAGGTGGTACGTCGCGATCGATAGAGGTTTTAGCTCGGCTACGAAGAGCAGTACATACACGTCATGCATGATATTCGTAGCATTCATCACCGGCGCAATCTGATAAGGTATGGGGTTCCTCTGTGGGTCCAGCACCTTTATCTTATACGAAGTGACCTTGAGACTGATCACTTCCTGCCTGGGTTGCGCCAGCGGATTGAAGAGGACGATCTTTTTAGTCTCGTGATTGTTCAAGCCAATCGGTATCTTCTTCGGTAGCTTCTCGTAACTGTCCCTGTCTGATTCAGCTAGTACGTAAACCGAATTTGATTTGCCACTAGTGACACCCGCCAGCGATTGAATGGCGAAACTTTGCAAACTCGTGGTATCTGAGATCGACTCAAAGAGCTTTAACGCATAATCCTTCATTACGAAAGACTTGGAGGTGCCAGTGATCGCGTCGTGATGCTGAAACAGGCCCAGATTACGTCTGGCCTTCACCAACTTCTCAAAGTACGTCTCGTAGAGTTTTATATCCTTGCCGGATTGCTTGGCGAGATTAAGCGTGATAGTATAGAGAATCTCGGCTGATCTGAGATTCGCCTCGAGTTCGCGATCCAGGATCTTCATGTACGGCCTGGTGGTGAAGTAGCCGCTCCAATAGGCCGGTCTACCCTCGCTGAAGATGTCAGAGTAGACGAAGAAGTCGCCCGTCAACGACGGAAATTTGTCTATACGCTTCTGTATCTCATTGAAATAATCTTTGGGCGTGCCAAACACCACCTCGGCATTGTACTCGTCCTTGCGACTATTTATATAATCCATCAGGATCTTATAGTTCGTGTACTGTTGATCCCACTCGATCGCGTGGTCATATCTGAAACATGGAAAATTCATTTCGTTTCATTAATATAAAAAAGTTCAGCTTATTTTTAATGCGCACGTAATACTTGATGTAAAAATAATCTACATTATTCGAACGCATAAAAATATTGAAAAAATGTATAAGGTAGAATTTTATATGCACGTTTCAAGAATGTTACGCGAGATACAAGAGAGAAGCTAAAATTCGAAAAAAGTTCCACGAACCTGAAGTCATCACCGAGCGGCATCAGGACGACGTTGTGAGTAAAAAGCGAGCCGGTCCTCGCGTATTGTTCCAAGAGGAGCTCGGCCATCTGCTTGACATTGTTGGGCGTGATTTCGACGGCGCGTACCGAGTACTCGGTGTATTCGCCGCGTATCTTGCGGAAGTCGAAGTTGAGGCAGACGTGCGGATGCGGACCGCACGAGTGCTTGATGTTGTAGATGTCGAACGGCTGGTTGTGGGTCAGCATATCAGCCGAGCCGATGCGATCCCACGGCTGTCGCCAGATAAAGTCGCCGTACTGCTTCTTGGCGAACCACTGCTTCCACGCGTAGTGTATCCTCTGGATCACCGTCCCGGTCGCGCCCGACGCCTTCAGGAAGTACGGTATGGTACCACCGTGGCCGAAAGGATCGACGGACCAACCGGATTCGGGAACCACGTCGAGATTCGTCTTCAGCCACTGATGTCCTGAAGTTTCAGAAAAGAAGTTTCGTTTTTTACATAGCTCCTGAGGCGCTAATATTTGGAACGTTTTATAAATACGCCGAGAAAAACATTCTTGTTCACTTTTGTTAATTGAACATATTTAAATTAAATATATTAAATCTAACAAAACCTATATTTGACATAAATACTAATATAGGTTCAATTAACAAAATAGTAATTTAGTTGAAAGGTTTAGTTAACACATTTTTTTTCAGTATATGTACATTTTAGTTAATAGGAAAAAAAATTGTAGTAATTAATGCAGAGATGTTTTGAGAGGAAAGTATCATATTATACATAGAAAGAACCATCTCGGATCATTTTAGATCTGTTTAAAAAATAATTCTTTTGCGATTTTCTATATAAATATTTTATACAAAGTACACAATCTCGCAATTTAATATAAATTAAAATAAATAATGTCGCTCCAAATTCATTATTGATATATTGAATTTGCTTGCTCGTTTATTTTCAGACAACATAGACGTTTAGAAGATGCTCTTTAAATGTTTTTCAAAACTATCCGCAAAGTTTCATCTGTCGTTTGAACCATCGTGAATTTTAGTTTGTTGATTTGGGACAGAGAAGCGATCAATATTAACCTCTCGGATCGTGTCGGGTTTTATAGTTTACAGTTTATTCTCGTTTAATCCGCTAAAACTAATCTACAACTTGATTATGAATCGCATACATATATTTATATAGGTGTATATATATATATATATATATATATATATATATATATATCGCAAAAGCCGCGTCGGCCGGCTTGTCGGTCTTTTTTATAGTATGCATTAATTTGCATCCAGGGAAGCCTTTTAAAGTTCATCCAACCGCGTTCTGCACGGTGCGATCAAATATTCATAATGCGAATTAATCCGATGTTTTCGTGCCCCGGATATTCCAATTTTTCTGAGAGATGATTAATGCATATATATATTGAAAATATACATTGATTGCCTATGCAATATCAATTATTATACAAACAAATAATATAATAAACTCAACCAATACAGAAATGTATCATCAAATCACCATTCAAAAAGTTAAATCATCATCGGAGTGACATAACAATTTTTAAACAGCCAATACAAGATTTTATAGAAAAAACTTGTCCCTTGATTCTCTGAAGTTCCATATTTATAAAATAGGAGTATTTGAAGAAAAATCCAAGTCAGTCCGTAAGATGAAAGTTGGCGAGTAAAAAGCTACGCAAAAACGAGATGACAAAATTTCTTAAGCAGCCAATCTAGAGAAGACTCGTCCTTCAATTTTTTTTCTACAGAATATGACTCTAAAATTCCATATTTAAACTTTTATTCCTAAAATAGGAGTATTTGAATAGTTAATTGCAAAAACACAGAAATAAATAAAGATGCAAGTTAGTCCGTAGGATGAAAGTTGGCGAGTGAAGAGAAGGCAGGTAAATGCGATTAAAGAGATACGCCATTAGCGGATAGGAAACATCGGGGCTCGTCGAAAAAGTCGGCGGTTAGGGTCGTCGATCATGAGCGGGTAGGACCAGACGACGCGGAAACTTACGGCGTTGGTTGGCGAACGAAGCCGCGAAATTAATCCCGCAGGAACGCGAGCGGAGACTCACCGGGGATGGTTAATAGAATTAGCCCGAAGTCAACGGTAGTTAGACGATATCCTGTTCGTTCTCTCTCTCTCTCCTCTCTGCCCTTTTGTCCCTTTACACGTAGCCAAGTGTGCTCGTGTACGTTATTATCGCTTATCGTCCAAATCCGTGTTTTTAGCATAATCTCGTTGGACGTTTATACGAATGTACAATCAATATTTGCGAAACACGCGCGAAAGATCTAAATCAAATATATCATATGTATCCGTCAAACGGATTAAATGAAAAACCATTAAATTCCTTTCATTACATTATTTCCCGTGTTGTTTATTATATTATCTTTTATTATATTTATTTGCATGGAATTTTGGAATAAAATTATTTTTGCATCGGCAAATATACCATATGGAAGAAATATTTTCATATAAAAATATGAATGAAATGTTATTTTTCGTGCAACTTTTTCGAATAATGTTATCTGATGCTTACATATATATATATATATATATATATTTATATAAGTTGAGTTACGAGAGTACGAGCTTTGAATCGAAATTGAATCGTAATTATTCAACAGCTGTATGAAAATATGGAATGTAACTATTTAGAAAATTCGCGATTTAATGCCATTTGGAGAGCCCGCGGAAATTATTGTTCACTTTGTGACGTGAACATCTCGTGAATTCGCCCAAAATCCAAATTCTCGGGGTCATTCGCAGCTCGCTTGCAACCCGGAAATTGCATCAATTATTCGAGAAAGCCAGAGCTCGGCCGCAAATTGCGCGTTCGTCGTCCTAGCCCGCCGATGGAGCTCGCATTATTGTGGAAGTAGATAGAGATGGAGAGAAAGAGAAAACACAGAGAGAGAGAGAGAGAGAGAGAAATATATAGAGGGAAGGAGACGGGAAATAGAGAGGAGAGGATGCGGCTGGAAACCAAAGTGAGAAAGAGGGACTGGAAGGGTGCCTAATGCGAGGAATAAACCATTAAACTGTACTCAGCCGGGTGCTCGACTGATTATAACTCGTTAGAGCTGCACGACATGTGTGCATTAACAGAATTATCGCGACCTCCTGAAAGGTTGCGTCTCACGTGTGCGAATTCGCTGCACTTTCGCGACATGCATCTCATTTCGATGAGATAATCGCGAGTTTTCTCCCAAAACACCGACGCACTGATCTTTCATGTCTTGGAAAAAAAAAAAAGCGACGAATTCATCCTTTTGACGATAAATTCGAATCGGGGAGCGAAAAAGAATTGGGCAAAATTGTGACGTATGTGTAAGATGTAAATTTCGGAAATTTTCACGAGGTGGAAATGCGAAATATACGGAAATTCTCGCATCCCGACAATATGTCTCGAATCCCCGCAAACGAACGATTGGAAATAAAAAGAAGAACGAAACGCGCGAAAAAGCTACGGACGAACTTTCGAAAAAGCTATGGTCACGTTCTGATACTCCGCGATAGGATGTGCAAGTGCATGTCGGGATGCTGCGTGATATATAGAGGATTTGCAGCGCGGAATAAGTCAATGTGTCAATTCTCTTTGGATAAACCTCAAAAACAGAAATTTCCAATTTAAATTTCTCACCAAACGTCCGTCTTTTTACAGCTTTTTTTCAAACATATTTTTTGCAATTTTTTTTTTAATCTGCGCAATACGATAATGATTGAGCGCGAGATAAAAAATGAAAAAAGATTATGCTGCTAAAAATAATAAATTATTTTACAAAATATTCCTTTTTTTATTGTAATTTTCAGGATATTTGATCATTCTGCTCTTTTTATTTCAAAGATTGATTCTTAAAATATATCCTATATAGATTTCATTGCAATGTAATAGAGTCGATGTGCTTTTAGCGGAGAAAAATCACAATGTCGAACGAATAATACAAGATTTTAACGCTCACGTCTGTTGTCGATTATTAATAGCTCGATCGAGAAGCGCATCGCGATGAAGCCACCGTGAAATTTTCAAACACCTTGTAAAATAAAGAAGAATCGAGTTTCTATCCATAATCGACCGATAATGAGAGGTATCGTGCGCCACTTGTTGCTCTCATTCCGAGTTCTAATCACCGAAGCTACTAACGTCGATTTTCGTACCATCCTTACATTTTCCCTAGAGTGGAATTTGCCGGACCAGATTCGTTAATAGTTATTAATTATCATGGACCAACCAAAACTCCGAACGTATATCATTTATATATCCACCATGTAACTTTTTCGATCAGGTATTATGTTAATTTGGTTCACAGAGAGAATTTTCCCTCAGAATTTACCCTGAAAATTTTATAAGACTGTCTCTAATTAATATCCATCACAATAAGATATAAAATATGTTCGATTAATTCCACTATGTACGTATTAATATTTTTTATTAAAATGAAAAATTCTAAATTGGTAAATTCTCTCCGTGTACTGAAAAAAGCACGAAAGCCCCGTTTAAATTACGTTCTACTTTTGACCCTCTTGGCATAATAATTTTATCAATATAAAAATATTAATTACAGTTTTAAGAAGTAATCATTCAATTTAAGTTTAACCTTTAGAGTTATACGAAACCATACAATATGTCGACAGGAAAATCAAGGTATATCGTGAATAGCCTAGTTTCGCGGCCAAAGAGAGAGAGAGAGAGAGATAACTAACAGATTTTCTCGTCAAGTGGTATTTATGGGATCAAACCGCGCTAATTGCAGCTAATTTCCAGGTGCCCCGGTATCGCTGAACGAGAACGAGAGGAGGATTCCGCGACAGCCCTGGTGATAATGGACTCATCTCGATGCGCTTCCGGTTATTATCGCTTCTGCGTGTTACAGGTAAGCCAGGGGAGAGAATGGTTTATCTCGATCTCCGCGATCGATTCTCCGGGCTCTGTTTTCGGATATACCCTGTTGTCGAATGTATATATACAACGTTCGAGTTTTCCTCGACAGCGGGAAAACATTTTCCGCTTTGCTGCACGCTCGCCAAAGCTTCGCGATCGATTTTCAGCTCCGGAAGTTTCGTAAAAGGAACGAGGCGAACGCGCGAATGGAATACTCATCAAATTAAATGTAAGGTAAGAATATTAGCATTAAAAAAAAAAAAAAAAAGAATAAACAGAGCAATGTATAATTATAAACACATGAGATAAATACAAATGAGATAAGCGCATGAAAATATAAAGGTATAATGAGCGCAGCGGAATAAAATTGCTTCATTATTTTCTCATTTTTTTTTTTACAAGACTATGCTGGATATATCGTTTGAATGAAGAAAAAAATGAATTTACTACATTCTTAATTAAAAAAAAGCGACATAATTTTTTTCAAAATATTTTTGCGTGCGTACATAATTTAAATTAATATATTTATTTAAATTACATGAAACGAAAAATAGCTGTGGAATGCTTG